CAAGCGCAGCAGCAAATAGGACCGCTCTTGTATAAATTCTGACAAGGGGGTTTTTACCCAAGCCCCAGTACAGTTTCACCAGGTTGTGGCTTCTTCGCTGTTTGCAGCCTGCTGATGCTCATGATGCTGGCTGCATGGCGCTCGAAACTGCAGCAGTGCTTGGGGAAGTTTGGTAGGTAATGCACATTCAAAATGCGCGCCCAAGGGTCCTGAAACAGGTCCTGCTGATGCTCATGATGCTGGCTAGATGGCGCTCTAAATCGTAGCAGTGCTTGGGGAAGTTCGGTAGGTGATGTATATTCAAGCTGCGTGCCTGATGCTCATGATGCTGTCTAGATGGCGTTCTAAATCGCCACAGTGCTTGGGGAAGTTGGGTAGGTGATGTACATTCAAGATGCGTGCCCAACGGTCCGAGACAGGTCCTGCTGATGCTCATGTGCTCTAAATCGCAGCAGTGCTTGGGAAAATTGAGTAGGTGATATACACTGAAGATGCGTGCTGGAGGGTGCTCGATGGTGCTGCAAGAAGTTCTGCTGATGCTCATGATGCTGGCTGGCTGGTGTTGAAAACACAGGGGCAGTCATGTACAACACAATCCTGTCTTGAGAATACAACGCTCCAACATGCTTCTCAGGCTTCTGGTGTACGTCGCTGTAGCCAGCTTTTTCCAATGCCGACAGTGCTGTCGAGTCCTCCGGCGGAGCCCAGTGCTTCTCGGCATTTCGGGCCTCCAAGGCTGCCCACTCCTGAGACAAACCCTTGAAAATGCAGACACTGGCGGAAGGGCTGGCGGTCCTGGTCTGTGTAGTCCGATCGCTTCATTGCCTCAGCTGAGGACTTTGCCAACTTCTTGCTAAGTTGCTGAGCTGCTAGAACAGGCCAGCGAGCGTTGAGATCACCCAGGAGGAGGTGCGGCAGCTGGCGAGAAAGCTGCATCTGGAAGGAGAGCAACGACTCCACTTGCCGCAGCCGCTCCGCCTGAGGAATTTTCAGAAATTCTATTTGATTCACAGAAATAATTGCCTCAACCTGCTAGGATGGAGTTCTTTGGATTCCCAGCAGCCCTGCCTCCGAGATGTGATCCCAGTGCGTTGCAATTGCTGCAAATTGCCTTTGACGCGCTGCAACGCAAACCTCAGCTTCAGCGCAGACCGCGCGGATTCAGCATGATGCCAATCTTTCACAAAGCAATGCAGGACCTTTGCTGCATCAAAGGCTCTGATAAACAACCGCGGCCGATGTGTTTTGTCTTGCCAGGTCCGAGGCTTATGACAGAGCCTCCATCCAAGTGGATGGATTCACAGTGTACAACCTGCAGCCGCTTCCCTACCAATACGGCATTCCCGAAATCCTCATATCCTTGGTGGAAACGTGGGAAACGGTTTTAAGCAGTTCTGGACTCTGGACACAAATCTGGACAAGGCTTTGAACCATGAATTTTGGATCCAGTCTCCCGGGTTTGCATGGGCAAAGAAAGGCTCCATCTCATCCAGGTCATGTGCGAGAGCTTCAAGACTGTCATCTCGCAGGTTCCCCTCTGGGTCCTCCAGGAACGGATGAGGGGTTAGAGAACTGCAGAAGTAATCATCACACGAGCCAAAACGTCCTTTTCCAAAGTGTCCACGAGACGGGTACCCAACCAAAAGCAGGATGTGAAACCAACCATCTTCGGGTTGGCCCACTGAAATTCAAAATCGTGCTTAAACTTGATACAACATTAGTTCAATCCTTCAAAACTGATGGTAACGGAAACAAAAATTCTGACTAAATCTGCATGAGGCACATCTGAATGATCCCATGTCGGGTCTCTGCATGATGCCATGATGGGCCATACTATTCATCAAAAGCAGCAGCAGCCAGCAGCAGCAGCAGCAGCAGCAGCAGCAGCAGCCGCGGCAGCGGCAGCAGTAACTCCCCCATGGTGTAAGCAGGTAGTTACATACTTACGCACAGGATGAAACTCGAGTAGCAAAGGTTTATATCATGGCTCAGCATCGAGGACAGGAAGGAGATGGAGGGGATTTTGGGCAAGCCAAAGCCAACAACATAGCTATGAAAATGATGACCGGTGGTGAACTGGACGACGCTCTTCCTTTCCCTTTGGCTCCGCCCCCTGACCCCCCGCATAGCCCTTTGTGTGGATCGGCGACATGGACCTAGGAGCAGATTCTGAACACAGGACTGCAAGCAACTCTTTTAAGAATGCTTCTTTTTGCGCGAAAGGCACCCTATTTCCCAACGAAGCCCAGTTCAGCCGCTTCATGTTTCGAGGCTGTCCGTGACATTGTGTCAGCAAGGTGCTCAACCAGGCTGGCAGGGGCTGGACACGCAAGGAAACGACGGCCCAACTTGAGCATGGTAAGAATCGAACATTTCGCGTCCTTGAATGGCAATCGCTTCACCTGAGAGCACGTTTGGCACAGGGTTGGGATTCGCCAGGTCTACTTTCCCCAAGACCGCAACTAAGTACATGCTGAAGATTGGCACCCGAAACGGTTTACTCTGAATTCGCTGAAATGCGGGGCCTCCTTCAGAACTTCATGTTGGAAAACTTCAGTAGGGCCCTTTGTTTTGGGAGACTCTTTCAGGGAGACGGAAGCTTCTGGTCTTATGGGAAGTCTCGAATTACAGTCTACGAAGGTCATTCAGGATTTCTTTTTTATCAGCAGCACCTCGTTCAGGCAGATGATGTCCGCTTTCAACGCTGCCAAGTCCTCCCGCAGTTTGCCGAAGACCTGGGATTAAACTGAGTTTTCCTTCCCATGCTTGAGATCTCAGGGAGATAAGTCGTCTACGACCTGTCAAGCAAGGGCCTCCGTCACCTTGGCTTCCTCCACTTTTCCAAAACCAGCACCGAAGCCGCAGACGTTGTAGGAGACCACACGGATCTGGGCATCTCTGAAAGTCTCTGGGGTCTTCTGACCCCACAGAAGGTGCAGTCATTGTGAACAGCAGTGTGAGGGATCCGGAATGCTCAGCAAGCCCGTCATGCAAGCTAGTCTCGTGCGACCCATGAAAGATCTTCTGAACCGCCAAAAAGGTTTGCACTTTTTATGCAAAACGTCCCACCTCATCCTCGGGAATGTCCTGGTCAGGCTCGAGGCCTCATGGCCCGACAGCGATGTAAGAAGATCAGACTTTAGTGTAAACAGACCTAGTCCTGAACGTGCACCGGGTTGTCAGAATGCGTAGGTCATTGACCCACAGGCTCTAACCGTGAACGTGCTGCTCACACTACATTGAGCAGAGCTGTGTGGATTTGACTAGTTCGCATGACTTCTTGGCGATCAACAATTGTCGTGTCTGCTCCATTTTGAAAGAGTGCGTCACTGGACAGTTTGAGCGAGAGCTTTCGGCAGCCCCGCCTGTATTTCTGGGGAGCTCCCCCAACATGGCAAAGGCCCGGCTAGCGAGTTTCCCCAGCTGGAGGACTGCAAGCGCTGGCACAAGGCGTGCGAGGCATGAGGATCTCAACATGCTTGGGCTGCAACGCTGCGACTGTGCAAGACGAATACATTCCACATCCTCAACCATTCCCTCCAAGCTTAATCGTAAAGCTGCATGCAAACTGGGACGCCAAAGGCGAGCTGCACAACAAACAGGAAATCTTGGAACTCCAGAACAATCGATGCTAAAGTTGTAGCTCTCACAGCTTTGCTGTAAGATCTCATCGTTTGGGTTTTCAGAGACCGCTGCGCCTGGTTCCAGGCCCAGGCTTCAGGTCCAGGGACAGGTGCACCTATCGCTGCATTTTGGGTTTAGATCCTTCTCATACTGACGACATACTTCAGAAAGAATCCCGGCGGCCTTTGCCGAAGTGTCCCCAGGCATTTTGGGGCCAGGCCCATTGACCAGGGAAGCTTCCCTTGCCGCCTTTGGGGCCCTTTCCATAGCCCAAAACCGGCGGCCGAGCCTCCACAACCTCCGGACCCCAACACCCCAAGCAGATCTTCCATCGCTTTCCCTGATTTTAAGAGCCGCACCCGAGAGGAAGGGACCTGTGAGCTCTGTGGTCCCGGTGCTTGGCCAGCTTGGGCAAAGCCTGCGGCACCTGGGCCGACGTTTGCCTGCGTGGGCTCCTCCAGCACAACCCGCTCACTAGCTGCTCAAACTGCTTACTATCGGCTCACTTTCTGCACTTTTATGACAGAAGTCCTCCGGCTCCTTAGACCCTTCCACTGGCACCTTGTAGATTCTCTGAAAGGCTTCGCCCTGCATCCCCAATTTTCCAGGCCTCTTTTACAGCGGGATCCTCAGCTGCCTTGCTGTCTGCTTTGCTCTTCGGAGTCTCTGTCCTTGAGCGGCGCAACTGAACTGGCCAATGGGACCGGAGAGATTGACAACATCCGAGTCCTGAGCTTGGACGGCTCCTGCCAGAACGAAAGCAAGTAACAGCAACAGCAAGAAAGTACTAGAACAGGAGCAGGAATAAGGAAGAATGAAGCTCCTTGGCGCCCGTTGCTTTTGCAGCTCCTTTCCGTCTCTTCTTGCGGCCAAACCTTCGCACAACGTTTACTTTCAATCGCAAATCAAAAACACACTCCTCGATGGGGCCGGGACTCGTCGTAGAGCTCGTCGTCCGAGTTGTGCTCCACCTGCTGTGAGCCACGCCCCACATGCCCTGCCCACAGTGCTTCAGCTTTGCTTTTTTCTAGTGTCCCTCGTTGCGCCTTCAGATCAGCCGCGGTCTGTCGCTCGTTAAACCCGCCACCTCTGCCTACATCTTCCAGGAGTACGCAGGCGACGCAGGCGATGCCAGGCCAGGTTGAGCTCCACGCCTAGCTCCTCATGGTCACGCTTCTGGGAGCGGAGGAAGAAAAGACCTCCCCCTCCTCTAGACCTAGGCGCCATGGGCACCATGGGCACCAGGCATTAAAGTCATTGAAGTTCTGCAATGGAGCTTCTGTGGCCACGACGCAGGGACAACCTGAACAGCAATAGCTGAGCATTGCATGCACTCTCTGCTGTTCGGTTTTCCGCCTTGAGTGCGTAGGAAGGCAAGTCCTTAGCTTTCTCGCTGTAGCGGTCTTTCTGCTCCTTTCATTTGCAGAATTGCTTGGGGCTTGGCAGGCTGCGATCCGGAACCTTATGTGCTTGCAAAGTGTAGGAGGCGCACTTACTCAATCCAGCCGGATGTGTCTAAGAGGCCGACCGGAGGCCATCCACCATGAACTGGGACCACACAGAACAAGCTCAAACGTGCTTTGGCACAGTGGCCACTTTGCTCGCTGAAGGTGTCGTAAGGTGGTTGATCATGTCTGCTTAGCATCCGGTCCTGGGAGTTAACACTTTCACTTTCTATCTTGCGTGCTTATCACCAACAACTATGGCACCCTCAGTACGCTACACATGTCATGCAGCGGCGAATATGCTCCCTCTGATCCTTTCCGAGCGTGGCGTACAGGCACGAGTGGTCATGCTGGATAGGCATGAAGAGAATTCTCAGAACAAAGAGTGTCAACTGACAACAGCACAAAGCTCTGGCACGAAAGATGTTAAACTGTCATTGGCCGAATCAAAGCACACAATTGTGAAACACAACTCTCCAAGCAGTCCACAACATGGGCAAACGCTATATGACACTCTGGAGCTCTCAATGGCAATCCTTCAGCTACATGTTCGGGAAAAGCAGGATTGAAACGCGAACACACACCACTGCGGCAGCCATCCTCAGACGGGAGCAAACCACTACAGCAAAAAAGAGGCCAGACATTCGTCTGACAAAAGCAGACACCTCTGGACCACAAAGACTTTTATACATCCAAATCATCAGCTGTTTTTGATAGGTTTCGCGAATGCGGCCGCGGAAGGGTCACTTTTCGACGTTTGATGTTTGGGGAGATGGGGGGGTGGCAGGGGGCAAGAACGTATGTTGTTTGGTTGCATCCACAGCAAAGGCAAGCTTCCTGCAAGAGCCTCGTCGATGCGCGCAGCCTTGGGGATGGATACTGCGCCCGACATTTTTTGAGGAAGCGGCACATTTTTTCATGCTTTTATTGTTGTAGACGAATGTGCACGATCAATCTTGTGCGGTTCGTTGTGGTCTTGGGCGATTACATAAAAACGGGGTCGGACATGGTCCTTTGAGCAGATTGTATGGAAGTATATGGGGTTCAAGGCTTCAAGCGTTATGCCTTCAGGAATGGTTTGCAAGAGTATGGTTCTCAACAGATGAACGGGATGTTGCGCGATGTTCCATCATGCCGACAGCACGTGTAGTGGATACTTCCTTCTGTCGGCATGGTCTGTAGGCGGGGTCGTGGAACAAGCGTGAAGAGGACACACTTCAACAGTGCAAACAACGAAGCGGAAAACGCCAATTTTACCGAGCGCGCGAGCAAACCAAAATCGCTTGAACAAATGCGAAATTCTTTTGGCCACTTTAACCCCGTCGTTTGGCAGAAAAATCATCAACAATCGCGCCAAAACCAGAGCGAAACGCATGAAATTGATCATAACATGATCATATGCACTGGTCTGCAAAAATGGAATATCAAACAATTTGCCGCTGCGTGGACCTGAACAAAATCTCGATCTGCAGAGCATGGTGCGTTTTGCATTGCCAAAAATGCAACCCTTCCACGGCCGCGTTTGCGAGTCTTGCCTTGTTTTTCTTCCTGTCTAGCCCGTTTGGATTTGCATCTCCTTTTGCTGTTGGCTTGACACTTACAATCGAGCCGCAGGGTGCCTGAAAAGAGGTCGAAGTAGATGCCTGTGGAATTGAAGACGTCGAAGAGTTTGAACGGCTTTGAGGATGTGGCTCATAGCTGTTTCTGGCAGTGTGGATTAGTGCCCGGTTCGTTGAGGCACAATTTGGGCAATGCGCACATTGAGTTGCAGCTTGAAAGCATTTTCGCACACAACTGGCCATTTGAGAATGGTCCTGAGATGTATTTCGGCGGAGATGCTAGCAGTGCTGATCCCCGCAAGCGTAAAGTGGCCTTTGCAGTTGTTGCGTTAATTAAGCATTCTGTCACGGGTGCTTGGCAAGTTGTTGGATGCATGACTGCCAAGCTTCCGGGTCAAGTCCAAACCGTGCCGCTTGGTGAGGCTTTTGCTTTGTTGTATTGTTTGAAATCCACACTGAATTCATTCTGCTTGATTGATGCCCAGTATGTCTACAACCAGGCACGTAAATTGAGCAGAAAGTCTGTGGCTACTTTCACGCACCCTGATGTGACTGAGGCCGAGTTGAGCCGAGATCGACCTGGCAGGCTTAAGATGCAGAAAATCAAGTCCCACCTCACCAGGGAGCAATGGCTTGCCATTTATGGTGAAGATGAGCTTTGGCGGTGGGCCAACAGAAAGGCTGATAAGTTGTGCAGCACCAGAGCGGCCACCCTTGCTGGGAAACTGGCTTCCTCCTGCAAGATTGGGTTCTGCTCGCGGACTAAAGTAGCCTCACATTGAGGTTGTCATTGCTCTCCAGGAGGATGCCAGGTTTCTCAAGCATAAACAGGCCATTAAACAATCGCGTGAGCTTTTTGACCGGGCTCTGAGACCTGGACCTGGTCCACTCGATGATGACAATCATGTTTGGAAATGAAGTTGTAAGGGAGTGAGTGCGCTAACTGTGCTGTGAATTTGACTCTCCAGCACCCCCAGCGCAGGATACAGCAGCTCCTTGCTAGCCCAGAAATTTTGAGATGTATCGCAGTGCATGGGGCATCCATGCTAGTCACGATGTTCGTTTAATTGGGCGAGTGTGGCAGCGTTTGCGGTGTCAGAAGCAGGGTCCTCTTAACAGAGGCACACGCTGGGGCACCTCTTGCTGTTAAGTGGATCTGAGCTGCGTAGCAGTACATGTGATAGGAAAAAGAGGTACCTGACTACAGCACAATGCGGGTCACTGACAGCAAGCTTCCTCTGCGAGGTAATGGAAGAATCTCTGTCACTTGCTCAGTTTTGTGACATTGCCCGGCCAAGCTGAAAGTCTCGTGGCATACTTTGGCTAGAAGCGTCTCAGGCCTACCCTTTCCAGCTCTTCAAGTTTCGAGGCTTTGCCGACCTGGGCACTCATTGCAAGACCTTCCAAAAGCATCTTGCTCTCGCAGGGAGCTCAGCTGCAGTGCCCAGTATCAGCCTAACAGCCCCCAAGCTGCTTTTGCTGAAGCCCCTACTGCAGTGTCTACAGCCCTGCCTGCGCCAGGATCTGAGAGCGGATTGGACATCCAGCGTTCGAGTTCTTCACAGCTTTGTTCCGGAGACCGGGCCTTCAACTTTTTGCGAATCCGTCCCTCTTGTATATCAGCGCTCTTCAGACGCGATGGGCCTGCGTTGACGCATGGTCAGCAAGTCACCTCGAGACTGAAGACCGCGCGGGTACTTTCGATAATCCGAATCCCTAAGCCTCGAAACTACGGCGAGCCGTCTGATCGAGGGAATCGAGGGAGTTCAGCACAAAAGGTACCTAACAGGTCCAGCTGACAGGCCCAGCAGGGATCGCTGAGAACTGTCACTTTGCTCTTACTTTGCTCGGCTTTCTTCCCCCTTCCCCGCAGCGGACGGGTACCTGGGCATCAGCAGATGGTCGGTCGCCTCAGCATCATTCACACTACATAGGCTTTAGAGAATGGCAGCACAAAAGGTAACGAGTCAATGTGAACCATAATTAAAAAAATGGACACAGGAAATGGATCCTCAACAATTTTGTTGTGGACCTGGGCTCGAGGCCTTCCCTTGGAGCCAGGAGTCCAGGCTCCTAGCAGTGAGTTCTTAGCTGAGCTAAAGCTTAGCTAAAGCGATCCAAGGAGTTTTCTGGTTGGCTGCTCGCCTGGGGTTCCAAATGCTCCTCGGACATGCCGGCCTCTCAGTCGACAGCATGTCTCAAATTCCTCGAGCTCAGGAATCCCTCTCATGCCAAAGAGCTAAATTCTGAGAAGTACCCCATGCCCCTTCCGGCTGGCACCTTGTAGAGTGCATGGATAGGCCGCGCAGTTTCCCGGGCCTTGCGCCTTTGAAGGCTGCAACTGACTGGATGTAACAATGACACCTACAATCACAGGCATTCTTCTCCGTGATGATTTGCCCCGAGTTTTGGTAGTCCACGAGTGTAAGGGAATCGTACTGATTTTCGTTTAGGCTCCTATAGCATGGTGGCTGTGGCTGTTGGTTTTGTTGTTTTACACGCGAGGAGCGGTAAGCTAAGCCTTGCAAGAGCATTTCACATCCTATACGCTCATTCAAAACTGACCAAACGACAGCTCGACGTTTGCTCTTCATTCTTGGCAGCTGACATTCGTGGGATGCGGAGAGCTAGCTGCCTCCAGTCCTCGCCAAGGCAGCGCACTGTGCATCAGGCGCTTCTATCAAACAGTCTGCAGAACTGCTTGAAGGCACACTGCCTTGTCGGTTTCGAGGCTTGTGACGTCTGCTTTGGACGGCCTGGGCTCTCATCCATGGGTCCTTTCCGCAAGCTCCCTGTAAATCCATCATAATGTTCTCATGTCCCAACACTCCACAAAGCCTCCGTAGGCACAACCGCGACTGACCCATAGCTTCCGGGTGTTCTGCACTGGGCCAGAGCCATGGAAGAGCTGGCTTCCCAGACCTAGGCTCCAGTCTTACTGCCTAGGGAAGGAAATCATGAGGTTGAAGCCTTTTCTGAACATGAGGGTGAGCAAAGCATGGGACATGCTGGTTCTTTTTCTCGCAACTATGCAGTAGCAATGTGTCATGACACCGTGAGAGCACTGTGACAAAGGTTCTGTCCTGATCAGGGGATTTCTGCAACATGTCACCACCAGCATACCATAGGACTTTCTAGGATCATCCGAATAGGCTTGCCCTCGCACCATGAGGATGAACTAGGAGGCTCACGTGCGGAGTGGCGTCTGCAGCTCTTCAGTGCCTGGCACATCGGGCTTGGAGCATCGAATCCACATCCTATGATGGGCAGGTTCCATCTGTATGACTCACGCGTTCCCGTCTTCTTCCTCAAGCAGAGGTTCGCATTCCCATGATATTTCCCCTGCCAGCCTTTCATGAAGCCTCGCAAAGCCCCCGGAATTAAGTTTTTTACACCGCCCGCTCTCGATGAAAACCTGGATGTGGAAGCTTTCAGACATGATAGACAGCTACATGTCAAAGTTTCAATGGGCATGGCAGCAAAGCATGCCCGAGGTCAACCTGAATCAACCTCACAAGAAGATTACAAAATGGTACGAGCGCCATGGATGGCAAACACAGAAGCAAAGATAGCAAGACATCACCATGGCGGGAACTAAGATGAAAGGTTGATCAACATGAACAACTACGTTTATCGCCCCAAGGCATGGTCATGGATTTGGCCTCCTCGAGGCTTCGAACTCTGGCTTGCAGTTCATCATTGCGCCGCCGTGCCATCCACAGTCTGACAAAGCCATAGCAATAGGGATTTCCAAGCAGTTGACCAGTAGGTGTTGGGGATCCAGGCTTAGTGTCTCAACACGCATTGCTGATGTTGCTCATCTCATTCCGGGCTTCATGCATACCTCTAAAGCTGCCACGCAACTATTCGGCGGCACGGGCCAAGCCTCTCTTCTGCGGAGGCAATTTTGCCGACGATCAGATCCCTGCATCCAGGGAAAGAAAGCATCTTCATGAGTCACAGACATTGAGAATCATAGATGCATTGGTACTAGCAAAAACCGACACTTGCACCGACCAAATTTATCGAATTTGTCGCTTTTCCTGCTTGAATCCATCAGCTGCTGTTTTGACAGAAGATACTGTAGGGCTCCGTAGGACCATTTTTTTGGTGACGTTTGCGTTGCCAGCAGCCCCTTCCGAGCCAAGTTTCCGCGCTGTGCTGTTGACCAACTGCCGTCGGCTTGGCTTTAAGCGGTCTCCAGTCATGGGAAAATGAGGGAAAATGCCCAACCGCCCATTGGGTCCAACAACAGCTCATACAACCGGCGCCCTTGCACGCGTTTTTCTGTATACCAGCACGGTCACGAACACCAAAGCCCAAACATCAGAGTCTGTAGAGCCCGAGCCCTAAAGCCCGAACCCTAAAGCACGAACCCTATCGCCCGAACCCTAACGAACCCAAGGCTCCAGCCCAGGGGTCTGGGGTACCTCCCATTACCGTGCCCACGAAAATTCTGACCTTGCCCACGAAGATGTTGAAAACATGATCACCTTCGTAGGCAAGGTCATTATGACCGGGCAAGGTCATAAATTTCATGGGCTACTCTGCCTACCAAAAAAATGACCGCGCCCACAAAAATTATGTCCTTGCACACGGAAAATGATCTGGCCCACGTATCCCAGTAACATTTAACTAACAATAGGTAAGAGGCGAGGAGGGCTTTGCGTTTAGGCTTTTGGCAGCTGTCCGCCTCGAGGACGAACAGTGCTCGTATCATGGGCAAAAAAAAACGTATACCCAAGTCCGCGCTTCATCCCCACAGAAGCAGCGGCTCTGGGTGAAAGGACCTGCAAGCAAAGGCCTAGAACGGAATTCTAGCCACCGCGTCGTTATTTGCGGAGCTTCTAGGTATGAGTCGCGAAGGCTTTGGGCAGCGTCTGCCATTGTGAAAATGCTATGCCATGCTGATGCTTCCATTCAACATTTCCATATGCTGTAGGCCAGTGCGCATGGCAGGCAGCTACGGGAAATGCCTCTCCAGTGTCTTGGCTGTATTGCTGCGATCCTGTTGGCGACCTTGGCAAGGAGCTGCACCAGGAATTCTGACAAGAAACGCCTTTGCGGGAAGGTGGGCCTTCCAAATGTCAGCATATCCTGTGCCAAGCCAAGGCACAGTAAATCTCGGCTTCTGCCAGCAATCGATGCGCCTTTGGAGAGATGCAGAAGACTGAACATATTGAGGAGAATCTTTTTTGGCCAATACGTTTAATGATAACACCTGGACCTGTGAGGCGCCTACGGCCTAGGGAACTGGGTGAAGTGGGGGAGCAATGGCAGCAGTGGTCTTTGCCTTCACTCTTGCAAAAGCATGGGGTCACTACTCTACCCTCAACCTGGACTGGAGGCATCTGGAAACGGACACCCTTGATTTTGAAAAAGCCCTTGCACCAACAAGCTTGCACCGTTAGAGCCATACAACTTTCGAGCAGTTTTTTGATTTGAAGGGTTCTGGCAAGCAACTCTGTGTGCATATGATTCATGAATGCAAACAAAGCTGTTACATGTGGCCGCTGATCACAATAACCGTCCGCTGATGTGAATCTGTGTCATGAGGAACCTCAGCATTCTCGAAAGAACTAATTCATGATACTCAGCCTTCATGTCAAGAAAGCTGTTCAGCTTCAACATTGCAATGAAACTCAAGCTGTCCCAAGGCAAATGCTTCGAACTGCTGAATCTACGCGAAACTGAGCCTGGACTGCGCTGCCAACGTCCATGGCTACGGAAGCATCATGGCAACAGAGAGCGTGTGGACCACGATGTTGGTTCTTTTGCTGGGAGCCCTCACCACAACGGCTGAGTGCCAAAGGTAGCCACCTCACCTCTTGACAGCTGCCGCCTGTCTCATATCCATGTACTTCCAGAAAGTTTTGGGGAATGCCAAATGCACAGCAACACAAACCTCCCTACCATCGTACTCAGGTCAGCATGAGTATACAAGCTTGACATAATGAGTCTTCTTTCTTCGCTACAGATTTGAAAATGAGGGCCAAAGCTGTCGAAGCAGCAACTTGATTGAACATGAAGCCAATAGCAGATGAGAGACGCAGCAACACGCTGGTCAGCTGTGTTGCTTGCTCCGGTCATTTGAGTTGTTTTGGCATTTCTTCTAGACTCTATGACTCTGAAGGCTCATTTCGACTGCAAAGCAAATGACAAGCGCGAGGAACCCGAAATACACACTTTCACCACAACTGCGAACGGAGCATGCGCCTCCCTTTTTTCAGGCAACTGAGAAAAATCAGTCACCAGGTGAGACTATTGTCCGCCTAGTCTGGAGGACGCGTGCAACCTTAGCGGGTTCCAGCCTGAAAGCGCTGTAAAGCGCTAGTGCTCCATGCCCTGCTTCTCAGCAAAGGTCCTGCCACATGCAAACATGAAAGATGTTTTTGCCAAGACAGTCAATTTGCCATGTGCCTTAGTCTGTTGAAGACCTCAACCTTCAGCTTCTCGGGGATGGCCGCCCTCCCCTTGGGGGCAATGTCCGAGATCATGTCCTTCAAGACCACGGGAAGAAAATGCAAGAAGGTTCCTGAATTGCCTTTTGAAGCCCCGCACTTCGAGAGTCACTTTCTCGACGCCCTTGTTCTGGATGAACTCCACACACTGCTTCTTGAGATCCTGCAGGCAGCGGCAAGGGACAGATGTGCTGCGATGCGAGCCTCTTCTAAGGGCCTCCCGCCATCCACTTTCGTTGAGGTGACTGATGATGTACCTGCAGTTGCAAATGGAAGGGAGGGTGGGTAGGTAGCTTTGCAGTGGACAGGGGCACTGCTTGAGTCGCTCCCTTTCGCCTGTCTCCTCGAGCTTCAGGTCGAGCATGTTCTGCTCCTGGGCAAGACCCGTTTCATCACCTTCGGCCTTCGGCCTTCAGCTTTGGCCATGCTGAGGGCGAGTCCATGATCCTCCGTGACTTGGAAGCATCAGCCATTTGTTCAGCCCCACTCCGCAATTTGGCGAGGCTCTGCCTGTGCTTCTGTGCTTGAGCCCAAGCTGCAACTTGATGAAACCATCCCAGGCTTTGCCCTGCAGAATTGATTGGCAGAGTCGGAGCGATCTGACATGCAGACGGCATGGCATGCTGCATGCTGCATGCTGCCTTGCTACTTTTTGCCTTCTTGGGTGAGCCACGGGCTAACTCAACGCTCCTTGAAGGGTCTTAAGCTGGTCTGAACGTAGTGTACCTGTACTTCCAAGCTGTATGGATAAGTCTGGGATCGCTTGGGGGTAACAGCCGACACCTCAAGGTCTCTAGAAGAGCGAGCGCCGCTCTTTCATTTGCCTCCGGACAATCCCAGCTGCCAGATTTGCAGTGCTCTGGTCCTGCCAAAATGAGCTGCCAAAAGACGCGTCCAAGTCTGCAGAATTCCTTCTATGGCAGCGCTTGTGGCAGCAGTCGTTGTCATCGTCGAATTAGTGATAGGTACCCGGCGGGGACAAAAACCCCCAAGAAGAGGATAGATTGGTAAGAAACAATGATAGCACGGTATGGTTAATTTGGGTGGCATTTCGGAATCTACTTTCTGCTGGGAAATTTGTCCGAAGATAGTCTGCTTCGTTGGGAAGGCTGCTTGAGGACGTGCTGTCAAACTCAGCCGCTTTCCTCTTCGCTATGTCTCCTCGTGGATTTGGAGTAAACGGCACTTTGTGGGGTGGAGGCGGGGCCTAGGAACAGCACCAGGGTGTAAGGGGACACTCTGAATTCATGTTGCTTGAAACCCTCCTGCCTGAGTGCTGCAGGGCACTTTGGCCCAGGCTCCGTGTGCAATTCTGGAGGCGCAACACACTTCAATATGATTGCGTGGCCCTTGTTGTGCACTCCCGTACATGAGAACTTGCGACGTCCTGGACTCGTTCGAGGAATGTATGACTCTGCTTGCACGCTGGTGTGTTGTCCTTGCTCATATGAACCAAAGCTGCCATCCCATCAAGCCAACCCAGCTGGCCGCACAGTGCAGAAAGTGGTCCAACAGTTGCTGCGTGTGAGCCTCTTGC